TCAACATTCTGCAATTTGCTTAATACTTTGCTTTTTTATATTTTTAAAACTGAGGGGGGAAAATTTAAGTAGCTATAGTTCTTGAAATGTGCTCATGGGTACAATGATCTCAGCAGAGGGAGAAAATGGAAGCAACAAAAGTTCATCCTAATTCAGAATGTCAGAGCATTTCAACATTTATCTTACATGAAGAAAAATCCCGAAGACAATCCACTGGGAACTGAACATTTCATTTCAGTGAAGTCTGCATGTGAAAACTTCCTGGAAGATTGTGGCCCTTGTTACCAACCAACTTTATACACACAGAAAAGCACTTTCACAAATTGATCTCATTCAGAAATAACAGTAATATTTGATGTTAGGCTAGCTTAGTTACAACAGGCAACAATGTAAGCTTCCACGAAACTGACTTTGGGCTTTTCGACACAATAAAGTCTTACCACTGCCACTGTCAACTAGAATGGGGTGACTGAGGAGAAGGGGTAAAACACACACACAGCTAGAATATATCAATCCCATTACAAGGTGGATCCAACTTCTCAATTCAAAACAAGAATTGCATCCTATCCCATCCAACTCCTCTGTAAGGTAAAGGTAAAGGACCCCTGGACGATTAAGTACAGTCAAAGGCAACTATGGGATACAGCGCTCATCTCACTTTTAGGCTGAGGGAGCCGGTGTTTGTCCACAGACAGCTTTCCAGGTCATGTGGCCAGCATGACTAAATGACTTCTGGTGCAAAGGAACACTGTGACAGAAGCCAGAGTGCACGGAAATGCCGTTTACCTTCCCGCTGCAGCAGTACCTATTTATCTACTTGCACTAGCATGCTTTTGAACTGCTAGGTTGGCAGAAGCTCGGACAGAGCAACGGGTGCTCACTCCGTCATGGGGATTTGAACTGCTGACCTTCTGATCAGCAAGCACAAGGGCCTCAGTGGTTTAGACCACAGCATCACCTGCGTCCCTTTTACTCCTCTGTATTACCTGTCAGTCTACCTACTCTTCTCCAAGAAGAATAAAAGTCTTGGGGAAGAGGGTATTATGCAGCAGAGGGGAGAAGGAGGGAACCCAGGAGGGGGCATGGTGTCAAATGGAATGCACTCATACTTTCCCACTGGAACATGTGGCTTGATGAGATCATTGTGTGCTTAGCATCTTTTACCACCTTGGAGAGGACTTGGCCTATTCTCCATCCCTTCGCCATTTGTTCCCTTTCCCTAAGGAAGAAGGTTCGTCTTGCAGGAAGAGTGAGAGAGTTAAATAAATAGGGAGTCTCGGGAAATGGGGAAAATTTTGAGTTGGCCAAGTCAAAATCAAACTTGAAAACTCAATTTAAAAATACCACCCTGAATAGTTCTCTCTGTGCCTGACCTATGGTGGCTGTCCCATCCATATAAGCCATTGCTTTAACTGCAGCCATCAGATGAAAAGCAGGCATGTGATAACTTACCTTTCGCTTGAAAGCGTCGAGGTGAATTTAAGACAGAACTTGCTCACACTTTCAAGGAAAGGAATGGGCAGTGTAAAAAATATCATTCTAGCCACTTGCAGCTGTGTTCCATTGAGAGCGCATCACTGGTTGGCATTCAAAGCCTTGAAGGATAAGGTTAATCACAGTTCTTTAATGTTTGTCTCCACACAGTTTCAATCACATTACAAATGTGGAGATTATTTCCTCCCTCCGTCTCCTTGCCACCACCACCAATTCCCTGCAGATATGGTATCTTTTATTCTGACATTTTACTTATCTTAAACTTAAGCTTATCTTTATTTAGTAGCAGAAACCACTGTTTTCTCCAGAGTCTCAAAGCTTAATCCCTTTTGTGATCTAGGAGATATCTGGGAGAGCATTGGAAGAAGAAAATATATATAAACAAATCCAACTTGACTAATTGTTCTGTGTCACACAAGCTATTTCTTACCTTTACTCCCTTTATTGAAGAAAAATAAATGCTTTTTTTTTAAGAGAGAGAGAGAGAGAAATCAAAAGCACAAGGCAGGCAGAGTCTACCTAGAGGATTATAGTGTAATTAATGCCAAGTCTAGCTGGAGAGAAATCTCAATAACTCATTTCAAAAGTGGAATCACCCTTGTAACTCGGAGCCTGTTGATCCACTGAGACTGGTGCATGAAAAGCTCAGCTGCCTATCGACTTCTCTGCCTCTTACACACTGTGTAGTAGCAGCAGAAAGTCTTCTGACGGCCTAGGAACCTCATGTGGATCACTTTATTAATTTTAATACCATTTTTAAAAATCACTTTAGTTAAATTTCCAGAGCTAGGTGATTGAAAGAAAGATCCAAACCTGGCAAGTAATCACATTACTGAAAATTTACTGAAAAAATGATGGAAGAAAAGCTTCATTATTTCTCCTTAAACCCAGATCCGGAAGGAACCATGCTTAATTAGTGCATTTATTGATATAAAGGTCTACAATGGTATGGTTTTACTTAAATGACTCTGCACGATCTCACCCCTCCATATGGAACAGTCACAAGAATGAGACTCACCACAGCTCCCCATTATGTTGAAACAGAAGGGAACTGTTTAAATGATGGTTAGTTCAAGCAACCTCGGATCAAACCATGGTGCATTCTCCTGCTTGTTCACTAACTACAGTTTCAACTAACCATAGTTCCCAAGTTAAAAAATAACAGGAAGCCTCTGGTTAGTGTAAAACAGGAAGTAGATGCTTCCAATTTTGTCCTTGAGAACGGGTCTTTTCTGTAGTGGCTCCCCATTGGTGGAATGCTCTTCCTAGGGAGGTTCGCCTGGTGCTTTCATTATATATTTTTAGGCACCAGGCAAAAGTGCTTCTCTTCAATTTCCTCTCAACTAGAGAATGCATGACAGATGCCATCCAAGCTCTGCTTAGAAATATCCAAGGAAAACAGTTCACCACCTTTTGAGGGAATCTCCTTTCCCACAACTTGAAGCCATTGGTTTGCATCCTACCCTTCAGGGCAGGAGAAAACAAGCTTGCTCCATCTTCTATGTGGCAGCCCTTTAGGTATTTGAAGATGGTTATCATATCTCCTCTCAACCTCCTCTTAGCCAGGCTAAACATACCCAATTCACTCAAGCGCTTCTCATAAGCCTTGGTTTCCAAACCCCTAATCATCTTGGTTACCCTCTTCTGTACATGTTCCAACTTGTCAATATGCTTCTTAAATGTAACATGTTAAAATATCAATATGACCACTTATATTAAAGACTTGATTCAATTGATTCTTCAAAACAATGACCAATATCCAAAATAAATATGAGGACATGCTCACATGTGCCAAATTTTATGAATCAAAGAACTAATTCTACCTGCAAATGTCACATGAAAAATTGGCCATAGGACTTAGCTACTGCTTTATTTTTAACCTGCATCATTCTAAAAGTTTAAGGAAAATGAGAAAATATCACTATATTGAACCTAAGAGGGATGAGGAGAGTCCTTGCTCTCTTCAGCCTTCAGAAACTGGATGTCATTTATAGGCAAACAAGATCAAAACACTCATTTGCAAGAGAATACATTATTTCATTCATTGACATCATACCTGGAAAAGCGTGGAACATTCAAGGTTGCAAAAGGTTGCTCTTTTCATTTTATTTCTATGTACTGTTTGATATTTTTAAGGAACAAACACCAAGGTCTACACTAATGTCACAAGGCAAATAGAAATAGCACCCAATAGCCTATTGCTAAACTCTTTAAAAACTTCCTAATATCACTTTTTGTTGTCTCATAGAAAGAACTTTGCAACACATCTACTGGTAGTCTCTGGTGAAATTAAAGAGAAGAGATCCCCTCTCAGTGCAAAGATCTAATGCCCCAAGCCAAACCTCATCTGTACTATTCTCCACCATTAGAAGCTTGTCTCCCAGCAGCAGCACTGCCATCTACCGGAGGGGTGAGGCAGTGGAGAAGTTCATGCTTTTAGATTTATACTGTACTGTGTTTTCCATTTATTATATAATAAACGTAGGCATATTTATTATTAATACTGTAACCATGTAGTAATTTATAAATGCAAAGGAAAACGGGGGGGAAAGCAAACACTTGGAACTTCTGTCTTCTTGAAAAAAATAGTAGAATTTGTTTTCAAGTTGCTATCCTTCAGATTCCTTTACTCAATGCAAGAGAATATTAGATGACCAGCATGTTTCTTCCCAACATGGGATGGGAGAATTCACAAAGGAAATACGTACAGTAATTTTATATGAATTAGTTTGGGACACACATTGCTACATTGTTGTTGACATTAAGCAACTCTAGGTATAATGGGTGACTAAACAGGAGTCCATTAAAAGCTCCATGTAAGCTTTCTAAGCAAAGAGTAAGAGTTGAGTTAAATATTATATATAATGTTAAGAGAGAGAGATTGTGTGTGTGTGTGTGTGTGTGTAGCAGAGGCAGTGTGAATAGAAAAGCGTGAATAGAAAGAAAATATCACTGCTAAGCTTGAAATGGAAATTAACTAATATTGTGGAACAGACTCCCACAAGAGGTGGTGGGCTCTCCTTCCTTGGAGGTTTTTAAACAGAGGTTGGATAGCCATCTGTCATGGATGCTTTAGCTGAGATTCCTGCATTGCAGGGGGTTGGACTAGATGACCCTTGGGTCCCTTCCAACTCTAAGATTCTAGGATTCTATTATTCTATTGGAAAAAGAGCTTGTTAATGCACTACTCACCATATTGTAAGAAATAAATTATTACTACAAATTGGAACAACATTAGGTTTCGCTTTCAGTTTTTAAATCAAATTTTCATTTTTAATTAGCAGATACATGAAAGCAGCAGTACATCATGTACTGTAGCTGAAGAGGATGGCTCAATTCTGACATCTCCACGTGTGAAGAATGAGCAGAGCCATAAATGACCACTCTGAGAGACCTGCAAACCTTCCATCATGTAAGAAATCCAATTAAATCTAATGAAAGGACTGTACCACAGTGTCCAAATTGTTAAGTAAGTTGGTAATTATTAACTCAGCTTATCTACATACCTCCACAGTGAGCTCTCCGTGATACTCCCCAGGTTGTAGTCATACAGCTTTGTCAGAATTAAAATCACCTGCAGGCACAAGAAGGAAATCATGGTTACTCTCTAACAATTAGAATCTCATAGAACTGATATGACCCAGGGGAGGACTTAGACTGCTGTTAATGGGTGCTTAACATAATTAAATGAATTGCTCAAGCATTTGCTTAACTGATATGGAAGTGTCTGCAGAGACGTCCACAGACATCGGAATTCCTCTCACCAGTGTCTGCCGCATGTGGCAACTTCTCTCAGAAAAAAGGGAAGGGCCATCTGCTTTATCACTCAAAGCACATGATAAAGGTGAAACATCAACATGGTGTGAGCCAGATTAAAACTATTTTTCTAGACCTGATGCAGGGGCTCCATGTGAATTAATGGTCAAGATCTTCTACTCTGGCAGTTACCCCCTGCCCCCAGAAATAAGCCCTCACATTGTACAACAACACTGATAGATAAACCACAGACTTTAATAAAGACCCATAGTATAGTATATTCTTCTAAATAGTATGGAGTCATAGAGTTGGACAGGATCTTGTAGGTCCAACACCCTGTACAATGCAGGAAATGCAGAACAAAGAATGGCTTTCCAATAGCTGCTTGAAGACCTTTGCCAAGGGAACCCACAATCCCTGTTTGTAATTGGTTCAGTTATCAGACTGCTCTTATGGATAAAACGCTTCTCCTGAACTTTAGCTGAAATCTGTTAATGGATGTAGTCATACTCTCCGGGGCAGCACATAACCATTCATTGATCATTTCTGTGTGATAGCCCTTGAGGCCTCTCAAGAGTATTATCATCCAGCTAAACATGTTTAGCTTATGGACTTGTCGTCCATACCCCTAACTATCTTTGTTGCCCCCCTCTGTACCTTTTTTTCAATTAGTTTATATCCTTTTAAAATGGCAGCTGTTACATTTTATGATCTGGAAACTTTTTATTAAAGTTTTTCTTGTTTAACAAACAAACAAAAGTACATATATTGTCCACTTTATACCTGCCCGTTTGATGTTTTGTTTGTTTGCCCTAAATGATGAACTTTGCATTTGTCTGTATCAAATTTCCTTTTGTTAATTTCAGCCATTTCCCATTCTATCAGGGTCATTTTGAATTTTATTCCTATCTTTTGAGGTGTTTGCTATTTCTCCCCGATTATCCACACATTTAGCAAGGATTGCCTCCACTTCTTCACCTAAGGCGTTGATCCCAATGTACAAAGAATACCAGACCTGGAACAGAGCCTTGCAGCACCCTAAAGGCCACCAATGATGAGCCCTTCAGGAGTACCATTTTCCACCCAGCTGGAAATCCATTTGATGGCATTATCATCTAACCCAAATTTAACCAGTTCATGGAGCAAAATATGGGGCATGTTGTCAAATGCTTTGCTTAAAACAAGATGAATTACACCCACAGCATCCCATTAATTGGGTTTACCGACCCAATTAAAAGAGAGAGAGAGAGAGATTAGTCTTAAATGAAATTTTAAGGGAAAGCTGCATTACATAATTTTTCAGTGCAGATGTGCTTCTGGCATTACTTAATCAAAGTGTGTTTGTGGCTTCCATGCTAGTTACTGTAAAGTCATTCATTCATTCATTCATTCATTGTGGTAGGCCAGATTCCCCCCACCTCAACCCCCACAGCCACATATCCACCTTATTGGCATTGTGGTCGTGTATAGCAAGGGTGGATAACATGTAGTCCTCCATACATTGATGGAGGACTCCATACAGCTCTCATTATTCCAGGCCATTGGCCATGCTGCCTAAGACTGGTGGGAGAAGGAGTCTAACCGGAGGGCTACAGGTTAGACACCTCCAATGCTATTTTTCTAGGAAAAGAGGTGCCAGAATTCACCATGAACACCTCCCTTGTTCTCTTATAATGGCAATGGCGCCACCCTGAGAGGCGCCAGAACTGAGTTCCTGTGAGTTTCAGCTGAAAAAAAGTCCCGGACACCCCTGGTGTAGATAACACTCAATGGAATATCATTTATATGGGGTAGTACATGCTCTAGTAATTTCACCATGCCCTTGTAAAACCACCAAAACATATAGAAAACAGTGGTGCCCCCCAAAACTATGGACATGCTTTAAGTACTATCTCTGTTGGAGGTTTTGTTAAGCTGCTTTTCGGGTTAACAGGTTCAGTTGCTGACAGTGCCCTTAATTCCTGTTACAGATGGATGCGAGACCTGGCACACTGCTAGCCTGACTTCATTATTTGGTTTACTGCCGTCTTGTATCAGGAGAGCAACTACCAGAAATGCTTTATGTGCAAATGCCCCTCCCTTCCCCATTTTCGTAGTGGGGGATTTATAGGTCTATTCAGGGAGCGGAGCGGCAACATAATTCTGTATCTTCAACAAACAGCCGCCCTGCTGCCACTGATAAGCTTTCCTGGGAGGGCGGTGATTGAAATTTAGCACTTTCCAAGCCTTAATTGGCACATGTCTTTGTCAGGCATATGCACCCGCTGTGGGAATGCCATCTGACAGGGTGGTAAGCAGCCTGACACCTAGCACAAGCTCAGGTTCTCTCTAAAAAAAGTGAAATTAAAATGAAAGTGAGTCATCAACTTTCAGTAGATCAGAGTTTGGAAAATGGAGGACAGCAGAATGACTAGCGATTTCCAGCTGCAATTAGCTGTTCATCTCTGCTGTGCTCGACTACATGCTTGGCACCATATTGTTTCAGCTGCCATTGTGCCAATAACCCCATATGAACCAATCATTTATTATGATTTATTTACCAACCACATGGCTCCCATCGAGCCCTCAGAACAGCTTACAGACAAAAGCAAAAACACCACTTAGTCCATAATCCAACAAGTAGCAACAAAAACTACATCAATTTAACTACTTTAAAATCAAGTTTGAAATAGCATTTTATCAAGCAGCTAAGATAAAGTTTGTACTGAAAAAAATAAATCAGGCCGGGTTGCAAAAAGTTTCAGCAGAAAGACAGAGTGGGGGATAGTGTTTCAACCTATACTGAATTTCAGTTTCAGTCCTCTTGAAGATTTAGGTTCACATTTTGGGTGTAGTCCACAGGTGGGAGCTCTGATCTTGATAGTAATAAGGAGCACTTCCAGAGAGCTAAGTTTACAAACTGTGCCATTCCTGCAAATATCAGACTGAGCCAAGGTGACACATGTCTTAGTTCAGAGGTAAGGAACTTTTCTAGCCCGAATTATCTCTCCTGCCCCTTGTAGGCCAAGTTTCACAGGTGGGTGGAGCTTCACACCTGTCCATCATCTGATGTCAAAATTTTATCAGGTGACCTTTTTGCCCACGGGGTCTTTAGAAGCCTCTTTCAAACTGCTATTTTGTGCAACACTTTGAACTGAGTTTCTGAAGATCTGAAAATCAGATGATTGTCAGATCTTCAGAACCCCTGATCAGAGTGCTGCAGAAAATAACACTTTGAGGGGGCTTCTGAAGACATCTTCAGGAGCTCTTCTCAGTGTGCTATTTTGCACTTAGTTACATTTCGTTTGGACTCATGCAATGCCCAGCATTCTGTCTAGTGACCAGTTAGAAACCAACTAAGCAATTTTATAGCTACCCTGGCTACCCCACTCCTTCCTGGAATATTAGCAAGACTCTGATCCAGAGGACTTATAAGACATTGTTTCCCCCTCCTGAGTAGGTCTCAGCGATTAGTTTTATGCTCCCAGACTTGATTTTTGTTCCTAGTCTAACTAAGAGACACTCGTCACACTTTCTGTTCCTGGGATGCTAGTAGAAATTGTGGAAGGCTGTGTAAAGGGTAAGGAGCTGTGATCAGTTAGGGCATGTCAAGTCTCCTGAAGCTACAGCTTTCCCATGGGCTCAGTTTCCAGAAAAAAGTGCTATTTAATAGGGTCCAATGACTTCCCTGGATCCCTTGGAGATGTCACCCAGTTCTGGTTCTGCACAGCTGTTTGCAGAAAAACAGCTGAGAACAAAGAAGTCTACATTGCTTCAATGCTTTTTTGGCTGTATGAAGTGATACTAATGACCCAGCCTAAGAATAAATATTCTTAGAGAGATTAAATCTTGGGCTTTACTCATGTTTAAACCACTTCTATGTTAAAGCAATATACAGTGATCTTTAAAAATATGTAAACTGAATAACTATTAGGTAATCACCTCATCTTTCATTTTAATGCACCCCTTTTCATAATACCCCTTTTACTTTATTTCTATGGTGCGATAACCTTTCTTTTCCAATTACTTTTTCTGATAAAGTACATATTTTTTGATACAAAGACAAAAGTGCAAACAGGATAGCAAAATGCATGTTTGTATTGAGGGGTTCTCATTTTGTGTATTGTTAGTAAAAAAAGCTATGTAGACCCATCATGTAAAATATTTATTATTTCATTCTTACTTCTGCTTCTTTGTTGTTTAGCCTGTAAAAGGTTAGTTAACATTTAACATTCTTTTTCTCTCTCCCTGGCTGTCGCTAGCTAATCTGAAGACCCTAATGAACAAAGACATGCATATTATGTTGTTCTAAATGTCAAAATATGGGTGTAAAGGAATTTGGTAATGTAATGAAAAATAATGCATTGCCCTTTTTTTCTCTTTTTTTCTATTCCTCTCATCTACAGTAATTTCATCAAACAACACAACTAGCTATAGAAGAAGTAAAGAAAAATGAATGTAAGCTTTGCTTACATATCCCCTGGTCTTTGAGGGGCTTCTGTAGTCATGTTGCAGAAGCGAGGGAAACAACTTAATGTAAGCAACTAATAGAAGTACAGTATATACTCGAGTATAAGCAGACTTTTTCAGCACATTTTTAATGCTCAAAAAGCCCCCCTTGGCTTATACTCAAGTGAGGGTGCTTTCGGGCTGCTCCTTCCTCCTCCTCCGCCTTTGCTGCTGTCGGTGGCGGAGGAGAAGGAACGAGCAGCCCGAAAGCAGCCTTTTAGGCCTGCTTGTTCTTCCTCCGCCACTGCCACCACCACCAGGTTTGTGGTGTGGTGAACCGGTTTATACTCGAGTCAATAAGTTTTCCCAGTTTTTTTGTGGTAAAATTAG